AACAGAACATTGGTTAAGTTAGGTAACTATCAAAAATACCCTGTAAATAGTTTGGTTTGGGAAGTAGAGTATATCAAAAGAATATAGCATATATCAGAAGAATATAGAAAATTATGATTTTTAAGTTAGAAACAGATGACGGACACTGCTCAGATAAGGACAGAGCTAGAGCATTATCAAAAATACCCTGTAAATAGTTGCTAGTTAACAAAAGTTGATGAGTTACAAATAGTGAGGGAAGCAACATAAGAAAGCAGATGATTGACAGAGCTAGATAACTAACAGAAATACCCTGTAAATTGTTACAAATTGTAAAATGTCTTGAGTGGAATATAACTGGAATCTTTGAATGTGTGAGAAAATAATAAGGAGTACTAAGAGATGCCCAGCTTGAAGATCTCTTAAAGAGCAAATAAATCCTCAATCTTGCAACTTTAAGCGTTTGTAGATCATATTCAATGCTGCTAGACTAAGCTGAGAAATTGTTCACAAAGTATCTTAACTAAATCAGGAATTAGTTAACCAAACACCTGCAAACAGAAAGCAACTCAAAGTGTCACCAAGGCAGACTCTCTGAGAGCTAAAAGCCTGGAGTATGCCAATAGAAACACGCTCAATTAGTTAGCTCGTCTGGCATACCCTATCAGACTTCACTTTCAACACACTCTCAAGCTGGCAGCATGAGCAGGTAAAACAAATTGTCGACGATATAATGCACGAGATGCAAAGACAAATTAGCAGCTCGCCTGGCATGAGCTGGCATCGCGATCAATCTTAAGGTGCAAGACACGACGATGATCAAACGCTAATTGCAGTTGCAACGAGCACGCGAAATAATTTGTCAACATTTGCAATAGAGAAGACGATATTCATTCATGAAATGCTGCATCTGGCAGTTGCTGGTTAATAAATGGTGGCCCAGAGCTGGCAGAGAGCCAGCAGCCAGCAGCCAGCAGCCAGCACAAACGATGATGGCCCAAGTCCCAAGCAGAGAACGCGCACGGCTCGTTTTTCTCAAGCGAATCACTTTACAGCGCAGTGCACAACAAAGCCCGAAAGTCGAAAGTCGAATGTCGAATGTCGAATGTCGTCTATCGGAGTCAAAGCCAGCCCCTCGCATTCTCGGAGCCCAGCAACAGAACAGCCTCAGCAACCCCAGCAAGTTCAGCCCACTAATCAATTTGCACAAAAACAAAAATAAACACGCACACAATAAAAAAAGCGAAACGAATAACGAAGAATGTCGTAAATAATGCAATTTTCACATTTTTTGTGTTCCATTCAAATTCGATTTTCAAATCGAATAATAAATAATATCCATACAAATTCAAGAGGCAGCGGATCAACCCATATGGTCAATTAGAGCGGCACAAAGCACAATGAGAACTTCATCTCAAGAAGCTTTTGCGACAGCCTCCTATACACACGCACACACACACACACACACGCACAATGTTATTCACTTCAATTATTATCGATGCCACCAAAAAAATAAAAAAGCAAAGAGCCCAAACCTGAACTTGTATTCACTCAAGCGTATTCAAAGTGCGCTCGAAACTTGAACAACTTTTTGTAAGCTCAAATATTTCAGAGTGTTTAGAGCTTAATTCTGATAAGAAGCTAGCGTGAAGCTCTAGGAGGAGGGGAAGTGACAAGTAAAATAGGGAATGAATAATATAGATAAATAGTCTCGGAATTTTTTATGAATCGATATGAAATATGCTGCAGCTGGAAGAAAGCTTTGCAGCTAGAAATCTTCATTTATCATTAACGAAAAGTATCTAGAATAAATGACAAAAAAGTAAAGTAAAAGTAGTCGCAGTCCAAGCGCAGCCTTTGTGCCCAGGTAAGTCTGTATAAATGAAGTGCGGAACTTCTTTTTCTGCATGTGCTCAATACTGGCTCAAAGCTGTCTGTCAGCTGATACTTAAGGAAAAGACCCAAATTGATAAGTAGAAAGGTTTTGTGGAAAATAAAATATTATATAAATACAAAATTTAAATTCGAAGTCGAATTTCCAACTCTATAAAAAACTTGAAAATATATCAGAACTTTTTATATGAAGAAATATAATAAATTCTCATTTAGTTACTTCACTTAGTTAGTTGCTAGCCTAAATAGCTGTAAATTGATTAATCTATAATTAATAAAATTCATTATTCATAAGCTCATTCATTAGATCTTTTGTAATGTGCGAAATTAAATTTCATATTTCTGCTCGAGCGCTTTCACTAGGCAGCTTAAGCTGCAAAGAAAAACCCTTTCAATGCATCATGTTAGCTGCGCATATATATATTTAAAATATATATATATATAAACTGCATAAAATTGCGCGAACAAGGCGATTTAATTTGATTGATTTCAATTTTTAGCCCACTCCAAATTGGTGCGCGAGATTCGCTGGAATAATAAAAACGCGTCACATTTGATTGCATTTCTGCGCTGTATGTGTGTGTGTGTGTGAGTGTGTGTATGAAATTGGGCTGACAATGTGCGCTGACCAAATAAAAAGTAAAAGAGCGAAACCCATTCAACTGCGAACTGCCACACATAAACGTAGACAAATGCCAATCACCCCCATTGATGCACCCCCTTCGACGGGTGTGTGTGTGTGTGTGTGTGTGTGTGTGTGAACGTGTTAGGGCTGAAAAGAACTGCACTTTACGCAATTTATGTGCAAATTTCCTCAATGACTTTACAGCCAAGCAGAGTTTGAGTTGCAATGCTCCCTGCCAAGCCCAGCCCAACCCCCACCCCAAGCCCAACCCCAACCCTGGCTAAATGCCATTATAATCGCGCGCTAATTGACTCTAATCGACTGGACCTGCACACACACACCGAGGGGTTGTTATTTTGTGCGTGAATGTTGGCTAGAGCACTCGAATCCTTCGACCTGGCCTAGATCTTAAGCCGTCTACTCAAAAGTCTAGGCATTCAGAGCAACTTAGCCTTAGTTTCGACCAAAATTACACTTAAGTACACTTCACATTCGAGTGTGCGACACACACACATACTCTCTGTGTGTGTGATAAGTCCGTTCATTATCACGCATGCATTGCCCACAAATTAGTCTATTTAACAGCTCGAGGCGACATTTAAATAAGCCGAAAGGACGCACGAAAGGCGACAATTTGGCAACAATTGCCGGTTGAAAGTCCCACAGCCACAGCCATTGTGCCCTGCTTACCACACACACACACACGCACACACACTCGCACATGACACCTTTTCAAGCTGAGTGCTAATACCTGCCCATACACACCACAGATATGAGTGTGTGGAAAAATAATTATGCGCCTGATTTAACTCTAAATTGTTGCTAATTTGTCGCAAATGGCACTGCAGTTCGCACACAGAGAGAGGCTGTGAAGCGTGTGTGTATTTGTTTTTTATTCAAGTGTTTTCCACTTGAGTTTTGAGGTTGTTATTCGCAGTCTGCCCGCCTGTCTGTCCCTTGAAGGACACTGCCAATGGCGCGGCAACTTTGACATTTGCATCGCAGTCGAATGGACCCGCAGTCAGCCAGAAAATCTGCTCAGCAAAATGGCCACGTTCATCGAATTATGAACTCATGTGTGTTGACAGCCAGCGAAGTAAACACGCAGCACGCTCTGAGCGTGCTATACGACTAGCAGATACTCTGTAAATGGTTGCCAAGAACTGTCCCTTAAATATCCACTAAGATCTACTCACACTTATTCTAAAAGCTTTTACTTTGACTACAACAGAAACTTTAACACTCGAAGATACATTTGTATCTCACAGATACTTTAGTATCTAGAAAACTTAGGGTAACTATCAATTGCATAAGATAGGCGTGCCTACTACAAATGTTGTTAGAGCTTAAAGATACTTTTGTATCTCAAAGATACTTTTGTATCTCAAAGATACATTTGTATCTTAAAGATACTTTTGCATCTCAAAGATACTTTTGTATCTCAAAGATACTTTTGTATCTCAAATATACTTTTGTATCTACAAAGGCTATAAGCGAGGTACCAGAAGTCCAATCATGGCAAAAAAAAGCTATTTTCGAATCCTGAATATATACATAATAAAATATAGCCAAAAAAGGATAATAAAACAGACTATGAGATGTATATATTTTAGCGTATTTGAAAATGTGAATGTGAAATGATATATCACATCAAATTCAGACGACAAATAGCCTAGTGGGAGTCAAGCAAATCGATGTTGGCCAAAGTAATAAGGCCAAAAGTGACAAAACTTTCGGCATTCAAATTTTTTAATGCCGAGACTCAACCGTTTTCTGTCTTCACTTGACCAAGAATATTCACTATATTCTCCCCTGTACTCGCTGGCCACGCCCTCAAGAGCTGACTACGCCTCAGCTGCAAAGTGCCTAAAGGAGCTGCCTGAAGTCACAGCCGCAGCTGCGGAAATGGCCAAGGAAATTCGCATTTATTATAATCGTCGCCTAATCATAGGAAATGCGAAAAGTGAAAAGAAAATTGTCCGCAATTTCCAGTTGTCAGATCAAAAAAGAATATCTTTATATATATATGTATATCTCTACAGATAAGAAATGAAATTAATTTGGCGAAAAGACTGCGACAATGCGACAACAGTCGCAGCTCAAACTTTGCAATTTGCGGCGCGTTTCCTGCTTCCGCAGTTAGCGTGAATCAAGGACGAAGAAGGGAATGAAGGAGAAGAACTTCTGTCTGTCTGTCTGGCAGGATGAAAAGGACGCAGCAGCTTCAATTGTCATCAATTTCGTTTGATGTGCTTAACAATTTTATAGACACGTTCCATCACGCTTCCTCTCTCCCCCCTCTCTCTCTCTCTTTCTCTCTCCCTTGCGCTGTCTCCCCTTGCGCAAGTTTTCTTCCTTCGATTAGCACGCACTTAGAGCTAAGAGCCCCATTGAGCTTATTAAATCAGGCGTAATAATTGGTCCAATTGCGCGTCAATTGAGTCGACCTAGAAATTCCATTCAATTCGAGTCGAGGCAGGCACTGCCTTGGCTCAAACAAATCATTTAGGCCAAGCAAAATTCAAAATTCACTTCGCAGTAGAAAATTTCCGATTTTGATTTTAGACAAAATGCCCTTCGCCGATGATGATTGGTCAACTAATGTCACAATCAATTCCATAACCAGCGAACTGGGCAAGTGAACATCGAACTACAACTTAATTAGGTCTTAGCTAAACCTCTATTTAGAGCGCACACACCTGGCTCGCTCACCTCAGCTGCTGCAGCAGCTGAACAGCCTGGCTGAGCCCTGGCAGGAGCTGGGGCACACGGACTCCATTCGCTTGAAAGAGTACTATCACGGCGAAGTCTAGACAGAACTGGAGCTCTATACAGACGGATATGTAGAGCGAAGCAATTGAAAATCAGCAGGAAAGTCAGCAATAGCAACACCTGTCGCACAGCGCTCACACCTGGCAATTAGGCGCATAAAACAAACAGAGCGCGCGGGCGCCATGTGAGCGGGCGCAAACGGACCAAGCGGCAAGGCGAAGCTAGCGAAAAACACAAATTGTGACAAAGTTTCGGAAATTTAATTAAAATCAAATACACTCAATGCCAACGCGCTCTGCTACAGGGTATGTGAACAGGTAAAAGGGGTAGCAAATTCTCACTCAGGTGTGACTTCAAATAGTTTGTGATATGCTTGCCAGGCGCGAGGCTCCCACTCCTTGCCTCTGTCTCGCTGTGTGTTTCACTAGTTTTCCGCGTCGTTGAGTAAACAAAATGTAAACAAAATTTAACAGCTCTGACACACACACACCTACACACACTCACCCACACACACACATACATATAACTCTTAACTAACCCTAGCAAAAAAAGCAAAAAACTCGCACTCAAGCTATTGTCGCCTTTTTTATGCTCCTTCAGGTCTGGCTGTAGTGAGCATATTAGTTTTGTGCTAGGCACAAAACATGGCCTAGATACTTCTGCATACCTTAGCTTGATAAGGTAGCCGAACCTTTGGCTTAAGCTGCTTGGGGGCGTGGCAGAGGGCACTCAGCGAGACTGCGCTCTTTTTACTTATATTATATTCCGCTTAATTAATGTTCAGCTCCTGGGTCTTTGTTTTTTAGTGTACTATGACAGCTAGAGGATTGAAATTTGAAATATGCACTCCTTTGGCTTAGCACTTCATGGAACTATCTAGTTTATAGAGCTGCGACTTCTAGAGGCATGACTAATTAGTCAAAGTTAATTATACCATTTACAGTCTTACAGCTGCCAGCTCGCAGTTCACAGCTAGAACTATTTGGTATAAGTGTGGGAAAAACTAGTTATTAATATAAAAAACTATTACTTATATAATAAATATAAAAATAATAAATTGAACTGCTTCCAAGCTATGAGCGAGTATCACGCAGTCGTTGAGCGCCTAAGCAGCTCTCATTTGTTACTTTTTTAGCTTTTATTTTAATATTATTTATGAGCCTGTGGTTGTGTTTTGAATGCCCGCCAGCAAGGTGTAGCTGCACAGGCAAACACCACACACCTACACACCTACACACACACACACCAACACACCAACACACACTCACACTCATAGAGACACCTACACCTTCCACATTCACATTTGCCTTTCGTTTTGTGTTCAGCAGCTGCTCAATTTCACATCGCTCACATTTGATTAACTTAATTTAATAGTATTTTTTTCTCTCTTAGTTGTTGCTGTTGTAGGTTGCTCCATATTTTGATATATTTGTTTGTTTATTTAATTTATTATCATTGTAAATGGGCATGGCTTGTTTGCCGTTTGCTTTGCCAAAGAAGGGACTTTGCCTTTTATTGCCGCCGATTCCAGAAATGCGACAATGCAAAACGGAGCTTTACGGCCTCGATGAACTCGTATATAATAACTTGGATGGGAAACCTTAACGTGTGGGCCTGCTACAAGCAGGTCTTGCGGAGCACATCATCACCAGGTGAGGGTCGGACTCTGAAGTGAATTAGTTTTTAGAATATTGAGTTGGTTAAACTTCAATTTGAATCCTGAATCAAGTTGAGGCAAATGAAGAGACAGACTTAAGGGTCAGGTAGGCAAAGTAATGCTGCTCGAGTGCTCAATGAGAAAGAAGCAGAAGCCAAACTTTGGTTTTTGTGATTTCCTAATGATAAATCATCTATAAGAATAACATCTATATGACTAAAGCGAGTAAGCCTGAATGAAAAATGAAAAACACTCTAAACAGATTTTGCTTTAATCCTTCACTTTTACACTTTTTATGTAAAACTAAATTTGTTGAGCTAAACAACCATTTTGAGCAGTCAAACAATATTTTTACTGAATTCTTAATTCTATTCCCAGCAGAACCCATTAAGAGTGGGAATCAAGAAGTTGTTGAGCGTGGATTGATTGATATAGCAACTCTCTCAGGGTATATTCTAGTCGAGCATTCCCAACTAGATTGCACTTGTTTTTAGCTACAATTACTATGATTTAAGCTAACTTAACTCAGTGTTAATTTTTGATTAATAAATGTTTCTTATAAATTCAATTAGTCCATGTCCTTTAACAACATTTCTATAAAAATAAATCTTTTCACTACTTTTATATCAAATTTGAGTTATCTTTGCTTCCATTAACTCTCATTACCCTGCACACAGCTTGAGTTTATTTTGTTATTCACGCAAAATCTAGGCATAGAAATCAGCCATTGCAAAAAGTATCAATATCAAAATGAACATAAAGCAGCAAATCCTTCAAAGGACACCTTGGCAAGAGAAGTACAAATAAAATGTCGTCAAGAGTCCTTTGTGAGTCCTAGGCGACCATTGGCTAATGAGCGCACAATTAGCTGCACAATTGCACAGCAGCAGCAGCAGCAGCAGCAGCAGCAGCCGAGCTAGGAGCTGGCAGCTGAGCCAGGACATGGCCAGGATCTGGCTACTGTTACCTGGTCAGCAATGCAGATAAACAACAAATCGAGTGAAATCAGGCGTGCAACCGAAACGCTAAACAAAAGGCCCAATGCGACGGCGGCTATTGCTCATACTTTAATCACAACAAGGATAACGAGGACAGCAAGGATCAGACGCTCAGCTGCTGCGATAAACAAGGCACTGGCTTAGCTCATTGAAGTCAGCGCAGCAAAACTTCACTTCAGCTCGCTTCTCTCGCTCCTGGCGGCTCGCTTTGGTGTGACAAGAAAAAGTATCGCATTTCGTGACGACTCGAACGACTGTCGCCCAAACTTCCTTACAGGGTATATCCTGTTCTGTAATTGTTGCCAATGCGCATTGCGGTGCGATCAACGATCCTCAGTCTGCCACGTCATGCGATATGCCCGGAGCCTCCCTCCCTCTCTCGCCCGCTCTGCCTCTGAAATTACCGCAATTATCCTTGTAGTAAAAACAAAATGGCGCTCATTAGCGAACGCCCCCACATACAGACATAAGAGCCCCGCGCTGTAGACAAGCTGCATAATTATGTTGCTGACAACTTTTTGATGAATTTATAATAATTTCTTAAGTGCCGCAGGCAGCTGATGATGCCACTGCTGCTGCCGCTGCTGCTGCTGTGGTAAACAGCACGAAACAGTAGGAAAATCTGACTTGAGCATCTGTTGAGCGGATTTAACTTGTTTAATTACCGCTGTATTCACATTTCTTGCCATCTTTTTGTGCCCAATGCAAGTGTGCAGGCTGTGGAGTATATCGGTTCATGTGACTAGGTATGTAACAGGCTGCAAGAGGCCTAACTGAAACCCTTTACTATACTTGTATGGGAGTTGAGCCAAGTCAATCTAACTTCACGTCTCTCTATCCTTTCATAACTTCGCCTCTCTTCAAATCCAGCAATCTCGAGAACTACAAAAGCTAGACACGTGAAATTTGATATATATATTTCCGAACAACATAGGCAGCATAGGCTTAACACTTTTTTTCGATAACTCAACCCAATTACTCAAAATCGATATTTTTCTTTTGCCTCAGGCATTTTTTGAGCATTCTTAAAGTAACAGTCGTTAAATTTGATATGTAAATTAATAAAAGGTATATGAAAATTATGCATACTTCAGATACTGGGAGCCTTCTCTTATTTCTCCTATAATTAAAGCAAATAAGCTCATTTAAAATAGTAGAAACTCTATCTCTGGTATGCACACACCTTTCGATATCATAATAACACTCTGAAAATTTCATTAAGATCCCACCAATAGAACCAGAGTTCTTTCAGGCTAGTTTCCTTACTAGAGGCAGCAACGGCTCTGCGTGGATATCTTCTATTCGATCAGAGCTCGGTGTTGGTTGTTTTTTGCTGTCGCGCTCATTTGGCATATAAATGTGCGCAGTTCTTCAAGTGTCTGCCTTGTACAGTATGCCCCCTCTATGAGCAACTGTTGCCAGTTTTAATGCGCTCGAGCTTTTTGAGTGTCGTTCCCAAAATTGATTTTCATTTCATTGTTCGACCGCTGAAGAGGTTCATAATAAAACTGCAAGCGAAATGCCAATGTGCTTGATTATGTTTGATATACACACACAAACACACACACACACAGTCTCTCTCTCTTACATTTACAAGGTGAATGCAAATACACAAAGGCACTCGACACTCAATTTCATAGAGCCAAAAAACGAAACTCAAAAGGCCACTTGATAAATTTCATATATTTATAGCCCGCAGAGTAGCGCGCTGCATTTGCACACTGAATGAAAATCCTTGCACACACACACACACACACACATACTCAAACACTCACACACACAGACAGAGCCAAGGACAAAATCCTGCCGTTGCGACTTCATGCAGCTTGGCCAAACACTTGCACAAATAAAAGATCTACTTCAACTTATTGAATTTTCGTTGATAGAAACAAGATGAAGAGCCGCAAGGGCTATCGCGACTGCTGCATACACTACCTACCGATAGGGCATATACACCTTGGGGTAGTCCAACTGGGTAGTGGAATCTGTATTAGATATATATATCAGACTTACATGCAAGCTGTATCGATGGGAACTGAAGCTATAGCCTTACTTGCAGTATATAAAATCTTTTAGAGATACGATCTTACTTAACCTTATTTGTATACTTTATTTATATATATTGATATTGATATAATGATAGAATCATCTAGAATTCGCATTATATCTTTAAGTAAACCTCTCGAAGATAGGTCTCATTTAGTATCTTAGGTGGTTCCTCTCCAGGCCATTTTTTCTATCTCCATTTCTATCTCTGTCACTCTCTCCCCTATTTTTCTATCGCCCTCTTTTTCTCTTTCTATCTCTTTGTTTGTCTGCCTCTCTGTCTTTCTCTGTCTCTGTCTCTCTTCTTTCTACCTTTCTCTATGTCGCTCAATCTCTCTTTCTACAATCATCTCTATTTCTATCTCTCTTTCTGTTTCTCTCTGTCTCTCCCTCTCCCTATCTCTCACTGTCAGTCTATATCTGTCTCTCTTTATATCTCTCTCTATTTACACCATTTCCCAGATGCTTTCAACTATTCTCTACATTACTTTAGACTTTGTTAATAATACATCATAATAAACATAATATCTCTTGGCTACACTCTCTCTACACTCTCTCTATCCCTCTCTCTTCTCGTTAACTTAACGACTTTCATTTAGCTGCTTAGTTCAGCTTATTAAATATGCATCCATCCATCCATCCATCCATCCATCTACATCTCGTACAGCCGCAACAACAACTCGATTGCTGGATACATTTAACTGGCAAACGGAGCACAGACACAAATATAAAGAGTTTTGGCCAGGCGGGGCTGGGGCTGGGGCTGTCTTTTGGCTGCCACGCCCACAAACAAAAAAGGCAAGAGGTAAAGCTGAAAAGAGGAATTTGCATATGAGTTTTATGTGAAAGCTTCTTTTGACGAATGCGACGAATGCTTTATGAAAGGCTACTCGAGTTGCCAGTGACAAATCCGTTAAGTCGCATTCAACATAATGATGACGATGATGATAATGATGATGATGATGATGATGATGACGATAGCTGTTGTAGTATTTGTGCAATGAATTTGATTTGACCCCACAGAATGTTAAGTGTAATCAAATTCAGCTGGAAGCTGAGACTCGAGCTGAAAGAGGAAAAACTTGTCGAATTTTATTAAAATTCGCACACAATGCGACGCCCCGTGGCGCCACAGAAATTATTAAAAAGTAATTATGGCACAAATTACGAGATATCAATACAGCATTTAGCACTGCATGTGACCAAAGGGGCGAGAGAACACAGAGAAATCTCTACCTTAAGGGTAGCTGAGAGGCAGGGTAGAGAGGTCAGGGGGTAGGCAGAGAGCAGGGAGGAGCTGCACTTGAAGTATGCTGTGCAAATCCTTTAGCTCACATCCTTGTTGGCTGCTTGTTTCCGCTCGCTGCTGCTGCTGCTGCTGTCTGTGGCTCACAATGCGATTGCTGCAACGACTCCTGCTCCTCTTGTCATGTGCTTCCTTCTGACATAATATCGAGATTGATTCTTTTGATTGAGTTGAAGAAACAACGGGCCGCATTTCGAGCACTCCTCGGGGTTGCTACAGTCCATGGCGAGGATCGAGGATCGAGGATCAGCCCCATTGACTCGATCATCATCATCGTCAGCAAAAGGTCGACAGCTCAATGCATAATGGGCATTATGTATGGCCAGCCAACTACTACAGCAACTCCATACAATGGACGCTATTATAACTATTGAGAGCAACTACTTGAATCTTACTTTGATCAGTTGTTAATTGTTGCGCCTCGGATTTGAGAATCAACAGCGGAAAAGTAAAATGCAGTCGCAAAAGTAACTGAAACAAGTTGAAGCTCTATATAAAAGACAACTTTGGGATTTGCCTGGAACATTAACTACAGATAAACTTACTCTCAGAGTCTTATAGAATTGTGGAATACAGAAAATGAATATTTTTATGTAGTATATATAGTACGACAACAACAAGAACAGTCTTGACTATATAGCGTATCACGTTCATCTGTTGCCTAACTAAGAAATGGCTTATTTACGTTTCTTAGATTAGGCATAGATGCATTATGCTGTTATAGGCAGCGCAGATGTTGTTGTAGATCGTAGCTGACTACAACATTATAGAACTGCCATACATAGAATGATATGATATGATCATCAATATGAATCATATGAAACATACAAACATATGTGAGCACATCGTATAACCCATCAAAGTAAATTATAATACCTCAACTATTAGCCTTCTATAAATCTTATAACTCAATCTAAATCATCTACTTCCATTTATTACACCACATTCTTAGCTCTTAGCTTTCCCCAACTAACTTTACTCTATCTACAAGATTCTATAAGCTTAAGTAATTTAAAATATAATTTTTCTTTTCTTTAGTTTGATTTATTTTCGTTTTATTTGTCTCTTAAAGTAGGCTTAATTTACAATATTTTATTACTAGATATTATGACAGCAGATCTTTAATGATAAGTCTCTTATAACTAGGCAATATTTGTAAAATATTCGCAAAGACAAACTGAAAGTTCATTTTGGCCATAAGACTATATACACACGATCCATACAAGCTAATATATATATATATATATACTTATATATAATATAATTAAACGCTAAACTATATACACACAAGATCTATGGCATATATATATATACATATCAGTTATAGACTATATATATATGCATGATCCATCAAATATATATATCACTATACCAGCTGCTTGGCTAGCTCGCTCTTCAGTCTTCGCTCTTGGTGACCACGGAGACAGGTGTCGAGGCATTGCTGCTGCCACCTGTGGCGCTGCGTGGCGATTGCGCTGCCGTCGAGGTGAGCGTCAGGTCACCGGAGATCAAAGTCGTGGCGCCGTGCGAGAGTGGGTGCGTGGCCAAGGAGTTGGGACTCTCACGTGGACTGCTGTTGCTGCAGGGCGGGCTCACCTGTGCCGACGACGACGATGAATGCAGCGACAAATTCTGCGGATAGCCAACGGCAACTGAGGCAGAGGCGGAGGCAGCGGCTGCAGCTGCTGCGGCACCAGCTCCAAAGATGCCATTCAAATTACTCAGACCCATGTACTGGGAGAGCAGCGTGTGGAAGTTGGGCAGCTTGTAGTGGGGCGGCATCAGCTGCTGGGGCAGCAGAGCCGGATTGAAATGCTGATGCAAAGCAAAATGCGGAGGCCAAAACTCGGCGGGCAGCGGATGCCCAGGCAAGCCGTGCGGCGGCAGTGGTATGCCCAAAGGAAACTCGGGCATGCCTGCAAAATGAAGAGAGACAGAGGGAGAGAGAGAGTGGGTTAGGCTTAGGCGTGGGCGTAAATTTTAATTATGTTGCAGACTTACCTTGGTCGGGCAGCAGATAGCCAGCCTTGTCCTGATTCATAAACTTCTCACGTTTACGCCATTTGGCGCGTCGATTCTGGAACCAGACCTGCAGGAGAAAACAGACAAAAGTTGCAGTTAGCAATTGCGTATGCATATACAGTGGAGTCTAGAGGTAACGAACTGAGTTAAAAACTAATTCATTTATAAATAGAAATTTCAACGATTAAACAACTTCCCACGAATAATACACTCTGTTTAATAAGGATTAGTTTTACTGTAATTGTGTCTGTTCATCCATTTCAGTCTTCACTGTACGCCAAATGGAGGGAACGTCTTTTGTAATTTGGTCTGGCCAAGCAAAAAGTTGAGCTCGAGTCTGCAGCTATGTCAAAATACAATGGCAGCCAATCGGAAGTGTGCAACGGTGATTTGACAGACAGAAAGAGAGGGGGAAAGCCGAAGAGAGTGTGAGAGAGTGGCAGAGCTACTGACTCGTCGAACGACTCGAGTCTAGTCAATGGGTGAGAGCAGGACTTCCGCTTGTATAAGGCTAGTCTATGCAGAGTCTATGCTCCTCTTGCTCTCTGGCTTGTATTAAGAAAATTAATTGTTTGTAAATTGAAATCACTTGACAACTGTGCGCAAAGTTGCTCGAAGAGTTGTGCAATTATAGACACCCTGTACTTAACTTGGCACACACACACACGCACACACAGAGAGAGAGTACATCCTTGGCTGGTATAACAATGCGTGCATCGAAGCAAGTTGCAAATTAGCAACGATTTCCTTGCAATAATTGCTGCCAATTATTGTCCTCTGTCTGTGTGTGTGCGCGTGTGTACCACGCCTACCACCCACGCAATGAGTATGTGCGCAACCCTTGTGATTTTAATTGTTGGCAGCGCAATTATAATGCGACTAAAACCACTTTTCAAGCTCAGCCAAGCAGTTGCCGAGCCGGACGAAACGAACTGGACTGAAGTCCTTAAAGTTGAATTCACGGATATCCTGAACACATTTATCACACATGTGCGATCAAAATATTATAATGACAATACAAACAACTTGTCCAAGACTCTATATACTATATGGCCCTATGTGCATTTGCTAGGCAAATCTAGACGTAAGATATTTGATAGAAATTGGAAATTTGACGGGACGCTTAGGACAACTATTTTTGAAGAAAGACTTCAAACATTTGCTGCAAGTTATTTATGTACAGCAAACGCGCATTACGCAGTCGGTAAAGCTGTTATGATTTTCTAATAATTTTTGAATACAGGAAATAACCCAAGCAAAGTCAACGTCGAGCAGCTAAAGCCAGGCCAGATTACTATATATTATAAAAGTTTCATATGACATCAGACTGGTAAGTCCTAACTTCCATTACGCATTCAATCAAATAGAGTAAGCTTAATAAATCAACTCATATTATAATAAACTCTTGCTGAACTTTTCGCTAAGCAACTTGAAAGGATTACAAAAGAAAGTATAAAAAATTGTGATTTGTCATGGAAAATGCGCTCTCGCTAAGGCAAACAGATAAAAAATGTGCTTCAACTTCAAATTGGCCAGACTGTCAGCAAATCCCAAAATAATTGACCGTTTATCAACCCCTTGGCTGCCAGAGCGAAAGATACAAAAGTATCTGATAGATAGAAAAACGAAACAGCTGAAAAAGCGCTGCTAAATGTGTTACTTTTTTGAGGCATTCAAGTGCACGTCTAACGTATGCGAATCAATGACCAATTACGCTTAATCTGCCAGCCAGAGAAACATACCCAAACAAGGCAGCAGCACGAAGGACGCAGGACGCAGAACGCAGGACGAAGCGATAATCCCTCAGTGAGTGCCAAGCGCTTAGGTCAAGTTGTTTTACATTTTTGTTCCTCTCTTTATCTCTTTATATATATCTCTCTCTGTCGCTCTTTGTATGTAACTGTCAACTCGAGTGCCAGCCAAGGATCACAGCCAGGATCTCGATTACATGCACGTATGTGTGTGTGCGTCTGTGTGTGTAGCAAAGCCACTTTAATTGTTTACCCCCTCGTCAAAGCGAAGTTAATAAAAATACCAACACCAGCAAGCGCAAATTTTTGGTCCTGGCAAAATTAATCACTTGGAAAATCACAAATATCTAATGTCCCTTAGCCACCCCTAAATGCAACCCCCCAATCTACATCTGTGTGTGTGTGTTAGTGTGTGTTTGCATACAAAGCGTGCACTAAAGTGTTTAAAAGACTATTTACAAATTAAGTCCTTTGATTGTTGGGCAGTTTTTTCATTCCACTTTTTACTCTTTGCCTGCACGCGTGATTCTTTTTTGCTTTTTTGTTGGCCAATTAAAAAATATATATACAGATACCCTGTATGAATGCCTGGGAACATTTTTGCTTTGCTTTCAAAACACTTGAAAAATTACAATTCGAAAAAGAAATTTAAATAAAATTTACATAAATATATTTAACTTAGAAAATTAAATATATTTAATATATTTATATATAAGAAAATATTACTTTTACTTTAGAGCAAATCTTTCTTTACTTTTCTGAGCACTTGAAATAAATTAATTTCAAAATTCTTCTAAATAAAAAAAATTAAAAACTGATTTAAAAAAAATTAAAAAGTAAATAAGTAAAATAATAAAAAAAAAATGAATGTAAAAAAAATTAAATGAAAAAGTAAATAATTTAAACTAGCATAAAAATTGTACGAAAAAAATAAACAACAAAAAAAGGAATATTAAAATTCCTCTAACAAAATTGAAACAAATATAAATAATTAAAACTGGTAAAGAAAATATAAGATTTTAAATATTCCAAACGCAAACAAATATTTATACTCAAAGCAAAATAAGAAAGACAATTAAATCCTATTCAAAAATTCAATTCAAAGGAAATTCTTATTTCAAAAGTAACGAAAGAGTTTTTCATAGTTTTATAAGTCAGAAGTAGATGATTTAACTGCCAATTCAAACACTCTCTAGATGTTATTCATTTCAAATTACTTTCATTACGAGCAACTTGAGTTGCGCCTTTTTTCTCTAAGTGTATTTTGAACTGCTATTTAAGCCGATTCAGCTTTGACCTGCCCCAGCCTTAAGCCGTAAATAATTATATAATCAGCAGCTAAAATACTCAATTGCTTGGCTAAGTAGCTATCAAATAAACATATAGAAAAGAGATGGGTAGTTGGGGAACGAGAGATAGATATATATATATATATATGTACCTGAACGCGTGCTTCGCTCAGGTCGAGCCGCATGGCCAGATCCTCCCTTGTGAACACATCCGGATATTGCGTCTTCTCGAACGCGCGTTCCAATTGATGCAATTGAAATGTTGTAAAAGTTGTCCGAGATCTGAAAAATCATCAAAATAGAGCATGAAACAGAGGGAAGGACTGAGCTGACGATGATGATGCGGATGATAACAATGAATTGCTTTTAGTTGCTTTTTAATGGGCCCAACAATGGGCTAATACGATTTTATCTGCTAAGCGGCTTGTTAACAAGCGTGAGTATCCTTTATGCTACCCTATGGCATCTTGCCTTGCACAGGGTATATCGGTTGCTATGCGAAATTGGTGTCAGAGCAGCTGGAAGTGTGCCAGCAAACTGCTTCGCTTTGATTGTCTTCGCTATTCTCCTTCTCTGCTTTCTCTTTTCCTCTCTACTATCCGTTCATTTTCTACTGTTCTCTTAGTATTTTTAGCATAACTCGAATAGTTTAAGATCTAGAGTCATCAAATTTTTGATGTGAGTGCTCCTTAGATATACCTAGCTAGTGAATACTTCTTTTTTAGATATCAGCGAATATATTCTGAAATATATATATGACATATAAGACAAGTACCCAGCTAATGAATATACTACTTCAGCTGTAAACAGGGTATTCCCTAGTCGAGCACAAGCAACTTCTAACAGATTTGATCGACTTCTTAGCGACTTCTTGTCGATTACTTACCTACGAACTTTGCGCGGCCTTTCCATATCGCCCAGATCTTGGCCATTATTGAGGCTCGAGGACAAGTCGTCGTCGTTGTCCACATCCAGGCCGCTTTCCGTGTTCGTGGGCGAGTCCTCGCGCTTGCCCAGCAAATGTTGCTGCTGCTGCTGCTGCCGCTGCTCCTGATGTTGCTGCTGTTGCTGGTGGTGCTGATATTGTTGTTGCAGTTGTTGCTGCTGCTGATGCTGCAGCAAGCTGTTGTTGTTGTTGTTGCTGCTGCTGTTATGCAGATGATGTATGTGATGTGCGTGAGTTATCAGCACCTCATTGGGCGTATCTAGCAGAGCGAGAAAATGAGAGACAGAGAGAGAGAGAGAAAATGTAATGGAAATACATTTAAGCTGAGCCTCTTCATAATCAAGAGCTAAAAATCAAAAGTTTGCCAAATTCAATTGATTTCAAGTGTTTCAAAGTTTGGCGATTCGTGTTTGACTTGCGAATAAAACTGAAAGGGAAAAGCACAAAAAAGAAAAGCCAAAAAAGCGGAAATAAAAACCGAAGAGAAATGTTGAAAGGTAAGGCGAGGCAGGAATACCCTAGCAAAGAGAGAGAGAGAGAGAGAGAGATGTGAAAGGTGAACTTATGCAAAGGTATCAATGATTGTTCCTATACCTTCTATATAGACATAGATATGGATATCGATTGGGTAGATATTTCTCTACTCAAAATTAAGCATTGTTTGTAGGGCTACGGCTTTAAGGCATTTTAGATGTCATATTTGATAGATATTTTTAAGATTGTGTGGTATAAAGACTTCTACAGAGATAAGCTGATATTGAAACAAACTGAAAGATATATATACTGACTATATGCTGACCAAACTGGGCTCTATACTATTCTGACTTTTGCCTGAGTCTAAGCTAAGGGCTAGCTAAATTCTGGCTAAGTCTCAACTCTATTCTGGCTGCATCTCAGTTAAGTTCTGGATAAGCTCCGCCTAATTTGATCCTTTATCCTTACTAAATCTTAGCTCTGGTCTGACCACATCTCAGCTACATTCTAGCTAGGTTTATGCTTTATTTTGGCAGCTAACTTATCTACATTTCAGCTATATTCTTGATTCTAGCTACCTTCTAGCTATATCCTAGTCAAGCTCAGTCTTTATCCTGATTTCGTTTCAACTGTCTTTGGTCAAAAGTCTCAACTATAATTTGGCTATAACGTGTTAATTTTCTCAGCTGTATTCTGGCTATATACTGGCCATATTTTGGCTTAGCTCCATTTGGACTGTATTCAGCTATATCTTGGCTTTATTCTGGCTACTTGCTGACTATCTTCCAGCTACTTTCTGGCCATATTCCGGCTCAGCTGTCAGCTTTAATCGGTTAGCATCCAGCTACATTCTAGCAAGTCAAATGACTATATCTTGGCTATATTCTAGCTATATTTGAGTATCTGATTGCCTCTCATACAGCTCTGCATTATCCCGAATATCTCAGAAGCCTTCGCGCCGCTCCAGGTTACATGTTGCCCAACAAATTTCTAATGCCCGCTCGGCGCAAGGGAAATACAAATAAAGTTACGCTTTTCGGCAGCTGCGAAAAAGCAAAATGCATTGAATTGTAAGTGAAGTAGTAATATCCTGATATATCCTGGCTGATTGAAAGCCCTGCCCAGCACAGCCCAACCCCCAAGCGAAGCGTTTAAAGCTTTTTCAAGTGTGCAGACTCTCTACACACACACGCACGCACGCACACACATATAGGGTATATATATATTGGATTTGGCAATCAATAATAAATAATTATGAAAAATTTAACTTGAGCGAAAAAGGATTTTCGGGCTTGGCTACAGTTGCAACCCTTTTGTGTGATCCTAGCGAGGTCCTTTCACACGCCCAGAGCGCAGGCCGAGCTGGTTTCGTTTGCTCTGGCAAACGCATATATAATCAAATTTTAATGAACCTCAAATTAAGGACGCGAATGTCCTTGCTGGCCCAGCAGGACATCAAGTTCTAGCTGCGATTTATGTCGCTCGCAACATTTCGGCCGCTTGTTGTGGCGAAAAAGGTAATTTGCTAAAAGGCATCAAATTACGCAGCTCTCGCAGCAGTCGCAGGACCTTGCAGGATACGCGATTGAGCGTGCAGGATATGTCCTGCGGTGCGCACGTTGTCACAAATTGTTACCTTGTTGACAAATACTCTGGGTGCAGCGCTGCGACTCCACCTACTCCACCAGCTGCCGCTGCCCGATCCTGATCTCAATCTAATTACGGTTCTAATGATGCCTCAGCGTCTCATTATGTCGCCCAACTGCCAGCATATCAATATCGTGATATGTTTTGATTGCGTTTTATTTCTGCTCTCCTTCGACGTGTTCCTTTTTTCTCCTCTTTCCGCTTGGCCTGGCTGCGCTTTAATGGTTCGCGTTCACGCAGCATGCCATCGGCCACGCCCACTACATGCTGTCCATACAATCGAACGCCCTCTCGGCACTCGCCCCTCGCCCCTCGCCCCCAGCCTCTTTCTGCGTGTGAAACATGGCCAAGCTTTATGTAGTTAAGCCCCAACAACCCCAAACACAAAGAGGGAGTAGAACAAGAAGAAGAAGAGAGAAGAAAAAACAAACTATGGTCATGTCCTGATTCTCATTTGCATATGATGTGACTGGATTGGAGGTCCTTTGATGTGGTTTCTGCTGGCGCATCAACACATTGAAGCCAGCCCAGGTAACGTTGGGGGTGGGAGCAGGTGAGGGATTTATTATGGTATTTTGGGCTTATGCTGCGTCAGTTGAGCTTAAGCACAGAGCTATTGCAACTCTTCAAATATTTAAAAAAACTGCAAAAATATTGAAAAACTCTTCAAGAATACCGATGCCTATGTCCATGCAAATTCTAGAAGAAATTGGCTCTAGACGCAGTTAAGCCTGATCACAAGCAAGACACGATTGTAACTGTTAACTGAAGATTGTTGTTAAAAAAATATACATATAATATATAATATATATATAATATATAATATATATAAAATATATATATTATATATTTTGAGTAAATCTAAAGTGATTCGAAAAATAATTTCAATATTTTTTTTAATTTTTATGAACAATTTTGCGATTTTTGAGCCTAGTTTATAGAATTAGTTATTTAGTTAACCAAGTTTCAGGAAACTAAGGAACACATGTCATTCGAATTTTTATGAGCACTTTGAGAACTAGAACAACTATTGGCCTCTATAAATAATTACAGATTATATTGCAGTTGAATTATGTTTTCTAAAGCTAATATTGAATTAAGTTATATATCAAGTCAAAGAGTAGTAAATAGCTTAAGCTCAACTTGCCTGATTTTTATTGAAATTGTTATTAGAACTTTAGGATATGGATAAAAACCATTAAGAACACTTGAAAGTAGAAACTCCAGCCATGTGGCTAAGAAAACTCACTTAGATCACTATATAATAATTAAAATAATAAGAAATATAACAATAGAGAGCTTTGCTATATAGTTATTAACAGATCAATGCTAAAGAGCCATGCTCTATATATGACATGCAGTAGAAACCTAAGCCAACTGAAACGATACTTGATCTATTTTAAAGAATGCCAAGAAGAGAATTGCGAAAAATCACGTTACTTTCGGGCACAGCTCAATTTTCTTACTCAAGCCCTAAGTATGTAGTCGCACTACTATTTTTATGAACAAAGCTGTATATGAAGAACTTGTTGAGCTGTCGGCAAGTTAAGAGATTTGCAGATCAGCGGCGGCAATCGCGTGGAATTGCTCAAATAGTCAGCTGAGCCTCAGATATATATCTCTATGTCAAACTCTATATATATATAGTTGTATAACTGTTAAATCACATGACTTCATCTATAGCACTCACCACTTCGTTTCGTTTGATGCTGATTGCCTAATATCTGATCGATGCTGTAGACGGCGCGTGGTCGTGAAACGGGGCTTTCCTGTACAGGTCGCATGGCTGGTGGCATGATGTTCGAATGCTGTGCCGTTGTTGTTGTTGTCATCATCTCAAAAGAGCAGGCTTTAAAGCATAAAAAACGTCAAGCTCTAGCAGCAGCAGTTGGCAACGTGCATGACCCGGCGCACTAAACTAAGAATTGCACTCAATTTGGTTTTATTTTACTTTTAATTTAAATTAATATTTTTTTTTTTAATTCTGTTGTTCACAATTTTCGATTGTAAAACAGAAAAACGCGCACGCACTCAAGAATGTTATTACTAAAAACTTCGATTTGATTTTTGGTACGTTTTTGTAGTTGTTGTTGGTTTGCTCAGCTGGACAAAGACACGTACGCTGGCAGCGATCAACAACCACCGACTGAGCTCGGCGAACGCTTTGCCAAGCCATTAAATACGCCAGAGAGGCGTATATTCTAGTTGTTTTTGTTATCGTTGTTCTTGTTGTTGTTAGCAAGTGAAATGGGCTGCGCCTTGGCAGTGTCCGTTATCCTGCGTTGTAGCGCTATCTCGCTTGCGCTCAGGGTGAGTTTTGCACGCACTTACAAGGGGCGGCTCTCTCTCGTTCATCGCTCACTCACGCTCTCTCTTTGGGCTATCTCTATCCCGCTCTGACTGCCTCACTCTCTCATTTAGACAATTTATTTGCCATTTAGCTGTGTAACTATGTTTGCTGATTAAGTTTTATTTATTTCATAAATTTCACTCATTAAAACGTAGTTCTGCACGTTAGTCACTCGTACACGCACGCACACACACGCACGCTCTATCTATCTGCCTCTCCCTTGCTCTCACTCACTCCGACACTCGCGACCGGTCAACAAATCACAAGCAAGTTTAGTTTCTACCTGCAACTGGGCAAAAATCGGCCATTTATTATTTCCGCTTTTTTATAAACCTTCTGCATGTTCTGCAAATCGCGCACCTTGTCGCAGCATCTTTTATGATCTCTGCCCGGGGATTGAGCATCGTTTCATTGAACAATCCAAATGCTCAATGAAGAAATCCCTTTGCTTAGCCAGCGTCCTAAATGGGAAGCGATTGAGCAAGGGTTTCATTCAGAACAAGCGGATCTGCGGGCAGTTCCCAAAATTAAGTACAGCACTAGCTGAGCTATAAAATGAGAGATATGTAAAGGATTAATTAATAAAATTTTATATTTAATGCGAGTCAAATATGGTATATAGTTAATTAAATTCAATAAAAATTAAGGAACTTTTTGTTTTCCATTTATGTAATAATAAAAAAATTGTTATTTATTTATGTAAAATATTTTTATATGTTTGACGATCTTTCCATATCAAACTTCTGATATTTAATGCAGAAAATGTAAAGGACATTCTTTTTCACAAAATGTATTCCTTAACTGATATTGTAAGTTTGGGAAGAAAATGTTTTCTAAATAATACGAGTAATTATATTATTCAAGAACCAAAAATGTAATAAGGAATATCCCTAATATGTTCGACATTAAATCAGAATTAATGTAAAGCAAATCTTAGATTAGATTTTTTCAAAACTTTAATAATTATTTTCGAAATTATCTTTGGCATTTTAAAGATAGTTCAAAATTGAGAGAAGAAGTACTTCAAATATTTCTTTTCGATTTTTCGAAATAAATTTCAATAATTAAAAGTATTATCCATCGAGTAAAATATTATTCCAAGCTCTGCCCAGGCAGATCTTTGTAATCCTTACTTAATCTATTTTTCTAAACAATTCTTAAATTATTTTTTATTTAGGCTTAAAAAAACACTAAAACCAGCTCGTAGTCTGAGCATATAGTTTAAGCACTCTACAGCCTTGTCGCTTGCCTCGTCGCCAGGCTGGATTTGATTGAGCCTTGCGGCTTATGTCGAAAGTCCTGTCTTGTCCTGTCGCGCTTTGGCTCAATGCGCTGCACCTTATGCAATGCCCTTAGCCAGCGCAGGTTGCATAATAACAAAAGGTGCCCAGGACAATGCGAGACGAATGCAAATCTTACACAATTTTCCTTTTTTCCTTTTGTGAGCTGTGGCCAAAACAAAGCCAAAGCCAAGCCAAAGCCAAAAACTGTGCAAAATGCGGCGCAGTGCGCGTAGTTTTCGCTGGAAGCAATGAACAAGTATCAAAACTCATTAAGGTGCCAGATGTGTGACGCCACACACAGAGGCCGCAGGACCTGTCAGGAGACGCTATGTCGCTTAGTCCTGCCTGATTAGCACTGCGCTTAATCATATTTTCATAGGACATCTCGCAGATTTCATTCAGCAATCCGATTGCACATTCGTTTAATATAGAGCTAAGGACTAAGGTGCGAAGCCCAGCTATGCGCCTACCTGCCTTGATCCTTGAGCCATGAGCCTTGCTGCTTGAGCTTGTACCGATTCGTAAGCCACTCGTGCTCAGCCATTAGCTCTCTGTTTAATTTGTGTGCTAATTGATCAGCATATAAATAAAGATTTAGTTTTTTGTTTCTTGTTTTTCATCTGCTTTGAACCACTTTTGAGGGCCTCTTCACTGCCTGCTGCCGCCTCCATTTGAAAGCCATTTAGCTCAAAGTGTGAAATGACAAATTGAATCAAAGTCAAACTCAAACTCAAACTCATTGAGCAGCGCACTTCAATGTAATTTCTAAATTAGCACATCAATGTGGCAAGCCAACCCGACCACCCCAGCCATCGCTTTAAACCTTTCCAGTTATCTATGCAATTTGCTGCTCTCTCATTGGACATGCGCAGCTTTCGCTCATTCTGATTGGCCGCACACACACGCTGACATAGCTGCGTTCGCCTGCCTGTCGAGGTCATTATCGTGTTGTCCCACCTCCTCTCGCTCTCTCGCTGTATGCCAGCCCCCACTGCACACGCTTCCCTCCCCCTCTGGCTTGCGTGTAAACACATTGTGGCAATTCTCTTCGGTGCGATGGCTGTGTTCACCTTTTAATAAGGTTAACTGCGACGACGACGACGATGACGACGACGACCCACAAAACACCCACGAGGACAATAGCTCAGCTACTCCAACTAAACCTGAATGTGTGTGTCTGCGTGTGCCTGTGTGTGTGTGTGATAGCTGCTACTGGCAACATTTTTCTTAACCATTAAATCTAATATATCAAAGTAATAAAACGAATTTTGTCTGCGTGCGTGTGTGTGTGTGTGTGTGTGTATGCTTGGGGAGCGTCTTCAACCCTTACCCAACCGCTCACACACATAATCCAACTAAAAACTTTTCGTCTACTTAGCGTCTGCCTTGCATTGTCTGCCGGATGCTGAGAGAGCGAGAGCATTTTGTCTTCTTGCTTTGGGGAGTTTTGTTTTGGGCTTGGGTTTTGGGTTTTAGCTGCTTTTCGCTGGGGGTTTTCAATTTTCGACATTATCCCCCAACCCCTTTGAGCTAATTGTGTGCGGGGTTAAATAGCGGCTGCTGCTGACATTTGAGGCTGAGTTTGAGTCCATAAAAGGGATTGACTTCTTAATTATATACGCAAATAACGAAAGGTAAGTGAAACATGAGCTTAGTTAGATATAAACAGAGACATTTATGATGTGACATGATATGCATGTGACTGCTAATTTGATCAGCTTACAAGATAAAGACATAGCTGCAATTAATTATTATATTTTAGAGGCTTACGTGACGGCTTAGTAACTAAAACTTATCTGTATGCCATTATAAATATTGTATTAGACTATTATATTATATTATTACAAATTTGGAATTTGTATTTAGAAATATTTCCTTAACTAACTTTATCTATTTTTATCTGATGTTTCATATGCTTAGCCAATTGCTATTTGATGTAAAGATTAATGTTTTTCCAGCACAATTCGGTGATTATTCAAGGAGCTTTACCTATGTAAAGAATGATTTAAGTTTTACCTAGCTATGCCAAAAGGGCGGCTACATATAAATTTTGATGTCTTTAACTCATATAGTTCTCGAGATAAAGTTAAAAATTCAAGTTTTCAGAACAATTGCTCATGCGATTATATGTGTTAAGTATATGCCTAGATATGCATGGAATATTATAAAATCTGACAAGTTGAACTAATCAGCTCTTCAAGTTTCCAAATCACAACTTCCGCACATTTTATTATTAATTATTATATAAATAATAAAAGATAAAGCTAAGAACTAAGAAACTTGGTGTGCCTATGACATTTAAGCATAAATAACTCAAGTTTCAAGTCTGTAACTCTTCTAGCTTGCGAGTTCATATGGATGGGTAAGTAGAATCTGACTATATGAATTTATTTTTTGTGTGATATCAATTCTGACTTGCAAGTATACAAAGCTCACGAGGTTAGCTCGTTAAGTATAAATAAAAGATGTAGGAATACTAAAGAGCAAACACTTCAGTAGATGAAATATACCTGAAGGAAACAACAAAGAGAGAGAAAAATGTAGAGAGCAAGCTTTAAATGCCTTAAAGTTCATTTATCAAGGCTTAAGAATTTCATACAGAGCCAAATTGCTAACTCTTTCACACTAACTTTATATAGTCTGTATATGAATAATATGATATAGCTGTTGCCTAAAACTAGCTTGTGAGCTGAAGAATTCTGAAGCTTAGGATCTGCGTAGCTGAGAATATTAATATAAAATAGAACTAGTTGAGCACCCTGTATTTAGATAACCAAGCAAATTGCATATTACAAATAGTTTTCAACTGTCGACAAATTTAATATATATATATATACTTATATATATTTATATATATATATGTAAATCTTTGTATATATAAATGAGCTGCTCGCCTCTTGCTTTGGGCTGGACAGCAACCGCAACTGGCTTGGCTTAGCTGTACACACACATACACACATACACATATTTACCCCACATATATATACATATATATAAATTATTCAATATCCTTTGCTGCTTGTGGCCATAATCAAACAAGACCAGCAGCAGCTGCTGCTGCGTGTGTGCGTCTTTAGGTGGGGCGGGGGGGGGGGCGGCTGGGCTATTTGCCAGCTAAGTGATACCAAGCGCTTGTTTGACATTTAGTTTTATAATTTAATATTCAGGGAGTGCGCATAGAGACAGAGAGAGAGAGAGAGAG